ACGGAATTAGGGTGGATCCAAGAGAGATGACACAAGAGCAAGTAAGAGATCTAATGAGTGAAGTGTATTGTTTCCGCTGCTTGTTTTCATCAGGTGAGGCCTTAGTGGGTTTAAAGAGAGAACAGGCAGTTTGCAAATTTAGCAGGAGTAGCAGTGACTTCCGAAAGCTTGAGTGAAGTGGGCTGGGAACTCGTGCTGCAGAACACTACAGCACACTACAGCTTGGTAGGTTCGAGGGTTCTGGAGTTGCAGACTGTTTAGAGCCAAGCGTGGGAGTGGGCACAGAGGAGAATTTGAGCTGAACAACAGACTTCAGAGGACCTGTGATTGGGTGAAGAATAAGATACAAGACTACTGACTGCTGGAGGAAAAATGAGTTATTGAGAGCTCATCCTGGAGAGAAGTATGTCTGCAACTTGAAATTTCATCCCTGGCCTTGTTCGGTAGTGTTTTCATCAGTTAGTTGAGCATAGAAATCAGTAGCGTGTTGTTAGGGTGTGTGGAGTACACAGAACAGTAGGAACACTTTGCAGTGACTGTGTTTAAGGATAGATGCTGATGAACGAGGAACTGATCTGCAAGAGGTCTGCAGTAAATGTAAGGGAAATGGAAAGTCCTGCATTCAGTTTCCCAAGTCCTTCATTTGTTCATGCAACAGATATGCACTCAGCAGTTATGAGCTGATAAAAGGCTCTGGTGTTTCTGTTGTAAACAGCAGAATCAAGAGGTTTGCCCCCGTGGCCATCAACAGTGTCATGCAGAAGGCAGATGTTCAATGCAGGTAATGCGGGTCAGAGTACGTGCCGTGAAGGGAAACACCACACTTGGAGAGAGTGTCATGCACTCAAAATATTGGTAGATGGAGAACTCTGGGAAATTCTCTCTGAGGAAGAGACTCTTCAGCTGGAGCCTGAAGACGTGGGTTTTAGTGAGGAAGTAACTGTGGGCAGAGAGCATTCTAGTTGGACGAAATAGCATGTGCAAAGGCCCTGAGTATTGAAAGAGGGTGGGATGCCCAGGGACCTGGTCATTCCCAAAAGCCAGTGTGGCTGTAGCTTAGTGAGAAGGCCGAGGGCGACACCAGGGGAGATTTTTAAACTTCGGGGGCCGCGGGTGGCATGTTTGTGTTGTAAGGACCACCCTGGCTGCCATGTGGATAGTGGATGGTGGAATCGAGAGGGAGGATGGTGGTCATGCAGGTGATAGGAGAGGTGAGTCAGACTAGGGGAAAGGACAGTTTACACACCTGTTTAGGAGCTGACTGAACAGGCCGTGGTCCGGTAAGGGAATGATTTTCCTGTATTCGTACCCTGGGGAAATTCAGGATCCAATATTCTGTGTCCTATCCTCCTAGTTTGGTTCTGGGCAGGATAGTCACTATTACCAGTTTCTGGTACAAATTCTTTGTCAGGAGAAATATATTCCTATTTAATTGCTTACATGGAAATGTGAATTTTTTAAGGAAGTTGTTGTATTCTTGATCAAGAACTTTGATGTTAAGTTGGGTGTATTTTATTTGTGCTATTTCATTATAATCAAAAGCACGTTGTAAGCAGTGTGGAGAATAAATCTAACGTTTGTGAAGTGGCAGAAGTGTCTAGAACAGATCTAGAAGACATGGCACATCTATGTACATGGTACATGTACCTGTGTACATGGTACAGATCTAGAAGCCATGGGACATATGTTTTGCCTCTATTTTCAGGGCCTAGAGCAGGCACATGCATTTTGTATTTATCTGTTTCCTTTTAAAACTCCAAAGTAGATACTTAGTAATTCTGTATATCTGCTTTCCTTTTGTTTCCTGTCAAGAAGCATTTAACAGGAGGCTTCCTGTGTGCTGTTTTGGATCTGTCAGGAACTCTCTGGCCCTTATGATTCAGGAATTAAGAGGAGAGGCAAGCCTTTCCCTGGGCTGAGGAATCCAGACATTTCCTTTGTTCGTTTCTCATTATGGTGATATGTACCCTCTTCTCTCTTTAATAGGGATCAGCTTGTGTTTTGTAAGTCTTGAATTTTAGTCTTTATCTTTGCTGAGAATACCTACCTTGGAAGACAGTATATATGCCCACGCCATGTTGATTAAATCTCTTTGCTCCATCAGAGCTTTGGTCCCCGTGTCTGCTGTCTTTCTTTCTCTTCCTCTCTTTCTCTTTCTCTCTCTATTTCTGGCTGATTCCCCAGAATGCGAAAGCCAGATGCATAACCCAGGGAATATTAGCCTCTTTCCTTCTTTCACTTTCTCATCTTTGACTCCGGACCACCAGGTTCCGGTCCATTAAAGGACCGACAGTTCCCCCCCTTTTCTTTTCTTTTCAGTTGTGGTTAAGACACACACCAGGTAGCTCAGTGGTAGAGAATCTGACTGCCAATGCAGGAGATGCATTCCCTGGGTCAGGGAGATCCCCTGGAGAAGGAACTGGGGACCCACCCCAGTTCTCTTGCCTGGAAAATTCCATGGATAGCAGAGCCTGGCAGGCTACAGCACATGGGGTCAGAAAGAGTCAGACACGACTGAGTGACTGAGCACACATACTATTGAGTGTATTCAAAACATTCCTAGTGTCATATAGCTATCACCACCACCACCTTCTCCAGAACTCTTCATTTTACAAAGGTGAAACACCACACCCAGTAAACAAATGTACATCTGATTGGAAAGGGTGATGCTTGTCTGATATCTAAGGAGACATATATTTGATAGGGGAAAACCAAAATGTTCTCCTTCTCTGTGTCAAGGACCCTAAAGTACAAACATGCACATAGTTGAAGATCAAGAACTACTTCTTGGATGAGTGGAGGAACATTTGACTTTAGAGTCCTTTGCTCACTTTTGGGAATGAGGATTTGAAAGTACTGATACCATAGAAAGAAGAGTCTGTAGGATGAGAACATGATGTGAGGCCATAATCTTATGCACCGTGATATTCGATCTCTTATCCCATCATGAAAAAGGGATTCTAAAATGTGAGGCAAAAATTTGTCTTTTGGAGACAATGGAAATTAATCACTGTGCAAAACCCAATGTGCCACATGGCTAAACAAGAGAATGGAATTGTGATCCTAGGCAAATTACTTAGGTATTTTTTTTTTAATTTAAGTTTGTCCACACAGCTTGCAGGATCTTAGTTCCCTGACCAGGGATTGAACCCGTGCCCTCAGCAGTGAAAGTGCAGTGTCTTAAACATTGGACCACCAGGGAATTCCCTGGCTCTTTTCTATTTTATCCTATTAGCAAAAGCTCTGATGTGGAGGCAGGTACTATTTAGGTAGGTTAACTACTAACACAAATGGCTAACAACAAGTATGACTTCAGTTGTCAGCTGGCTTTGAAAATTTGACTTGTACTCAATAGACATTCTATTCCTTGAATGTTTTACCAGGAATAACGCTAAGTCAAGTGGACGAGGTGAGTTGATCCAGCCATCAAGTTTCGACACTATTCTTTGCTAAGAAGTCAGCACTGTGCCGGAGACTGCCTGTGAGCTTCTCTGTGTTTGCAGGGGTGGCAGGGAGCAGTGGGGGGTTCCCGTCCCAGTGGGTGTCAGAAATTCTTGGAGATGGCTCTCTTTTATGAGCATTCTGAATTTTCTCTTTGTTTCCCCTTACACATTTTTTATCATGGAAAATTGCAGTATTCTTAAAACTAGGGAATAATATTACAGCCCCCGTGGAGCCATCATATACGTCAAACAGTTCTTAACATTTTGCCATCCTTGCTGCTTCTTGTTTCATGTGTCTAGGCTAAACACTGGGCATTTTCCACTGAATAGTTTTGTGTGCATCTTTAAGAAATAAGGCCCTCTGGGGCCTTTTCTCACTGTATAGTTGACCTGTGACCACTGTGTAATTCTCCTGTCTGGAGCAGTGACCGTCCCTTCACAGCATCCATCCAGTCTGTTCCTCTTTTCCCTGCTGTCCCGAAGGTGTCCTCTTACAGTGGTTTGTTTGCCTCCGGAACCAAATCAAATCCACGTGTTACCTTCTGGTGCTTCAGTTGTAAGCCTCTCCTGATCAAGACAACTTCTGATCCAATGCGGTATTAATGTTCTAGGCATGACCGGCTGCTTCGGATTAGCGCCCTCAGGTGGGACTATGGCAGTGTCTTACCAAGTGCTTACGATTTCACATGTCTGCTGAAGAGGTAAGTTAGCACTCTTTTTCAAATTTGTTAATTTGGAAACTGACTGAGCTTGTGGCTCAGCTTCTGTAATAGTATTTATAGTATTTGTCTTTTTGTTTTAACCTTTGCTTTTCAGTAGTTTTTGGTCTGTTTGAGAATGGTAGGGGTAATTCTAAATGCTGTATGGAAAACTACTCTTAACAAAATAAAGGGTCTTGTTATGTTAGTTGCTAGAGATCCATCAGTAGGGGCATTATTATTTGGAGGTTTTTCATAAAATGTGTGTGGGTACATACTTTGCTTGGGGCTTCCCAGGTGGCACCTGTGGTAAACAACTTGCCTGCCAATGCAGGAGATGTAAGTGATGTGAGTTTGATCCCTGGGTCGCGAAGATCCCCTGGAGGAGAGCTTGGCAACCCACTCCATGGGGTCACAAACATTGAGACATGCCTGAGTGACTGAGCAGCACATGGAAGTTTAGCAGAAAAACCCAATTCCATCTCCTGTGTATTCTCCATCAAGACCCTGATGCCCTTTACCCAGCATGCACAGGCGCTTCTCTGGGGACTCAGAGTCTGGTAGAGGACTTACCTTGTCCTTCAACACAAACTCCAGATCATTCTGCAGCTTCAGGACTAGCTTCTCTGAGTCTGGGAGCTTCTCCATGACTTCAATCATCTCCTTCTGCAATTGACTATTTTCCTATGAGACTCAGGTCAGTGGCTGGCCAGCTCTGGGGATGGAGGAGGGAGTGAGAGGCAGGGCTCTGGAGCAGGAGCTCTGGGGGAGGCTCTCCTGCCCGCCTGAGCTCTCGACAAGGTCATAAGCAGCAGGAGTGGAAGGCGGTGACAACCCGTCTGGAGCCATCTTTGAAAGGATGGATTTGAAGCTGCACTGCGATACTCTAGGAGTCCTCCGGAAGGAAAGCGGTATCCGCAGACACAGGAAACAATCAGAAGGCAGGCCTGGCTTCTCCTCTTGGGGAGGGAGGCGAGGGAGGCGGGGCAGGTGTGGAAGAACCCACAGTCCTGAGTCAGGGAAGAAGCAGGGGAGCCGGGGCCACTTCCCCGGACGTGAACGCAGGCGGGGAGCAGGTCAGGGACGCTCTCCACAAGCCAGAAGTGTGCCCCTGATCTGGGTCACACAGCCAGCGCTGGGGGCGCGTGGCACTTTTGTCTTTGGTCCAGGGCTCCAGTCCCCGGGGGGCAGGCAAGGCAGCAGCCGCTGGCCCAGAGCCGAGAGCCCCGGGGTCCCCATTGTGCAGCCCACATGGCTGCAGAGGAGGCCTGGACTCTCCTGGAGAAGCCAGGACGCTTCTGCTTCGGCTGAGAAATGGGCTCTCTGTGGCTGCAGAAACCGTTCTTTAGTGTCAAGCCCCCAGGGCCACGGGGAGCGTTCAGTCCTGGCCCAGGAATGGGTGGGTGTGGAGGAGGGGCCCTCGGGTAATGTGGCCTCCCTCTTTTCGTGTGGGGGCCCTGAGGAGGTGCCCCGCGGCACCCTGAAACCCCTACCTTCAGGGCCGGGGTCAGCTTCTCGCGGAGGCCGGTCTCCTCCACCTGCAGGCACTGCAGGTCCTCTGCCGCTGGGCCTGCTCCCAGAACAGCTCGTGTTCCACCTCCGCCTCGGACCGCAGGAGGCTCAGCCTCCCCTAGTAGCCCTGTTCCAGACGTCTGCAAGGCACATGGCTCAGGGTGCATCAGGCTCCCCGGGGGCGCCACCTGCACGTCTCCCTCCCCGGGGTATGCCGTCAGTGCACTTGGCCTGTGCTTTGGGGACGCGTTTGTTCCCGCCAGAGAGACAGGTGAGTTGCAGTGTTGTGGGGCAGCAGAGGCCTCATATACTGCCCCCCTCGGGGTTGGCGGAGGTGACCCCACTCAGACGAGGGAGCCAGCAGGTCCCTCAGCCCATGGGGTGAGTTCGGAGGTGACCTCTGGTTGGGTATCTGGCACCCCTTGGCCATTCAACCTTTTCCACGTCATCAAAAAATGCACCAGTAAATAAAGGCAGCATCGGGGCCCTTCGTGAATGAAGGCGCAGAGACGCCAGCCTCCACCACAAGCATTGGAAAAGCAGCACACAGCGAATCCCAAGGCAGAGAGAGGATGGAGCGGGGCCCATTGCCCTCAGACTCTGCAGTGATCTTTTGCAACAACCATGCCTATCAGCAGGGAAAACAGTGCCAAACCTTAGCTTTATCACTAAAGCTAGTGGAGCTGAGCTATTTAACATCCTAAAAGATGATGCTGTTAAAGTGCAGCACTCAGTATGCCAGCAAATTTGGAAAACTTAGCAATGGCCACAGGACTGGAAAAGGTCGATTTTCATTTTAATCCCAAAGGAGGGCAATGTTAAAGAAAGTTCACACGACTGCACCGTTGCACTTATTCCACATTTTAGCAAGGTAATGCTCAAAATCCTTCAAGCTAGGCTTCAACAATACATAAACCAAGAACTTCCACATGTCCACACTGGATTTAGAAAAGGCAAAGGACCTAGAAATCAAGTTGCCAACATCCCCTGGATCATCGAAAAAGTCAGAGAATTCCAGAAAAACATCTACTTCTGCTTCATTGACTATGTTAAAAGTCTTTGACTATGTGGATCACAATAAACTGTGGAAAATTCTTCAAGAGCTAGGAATATCAGACCACCTCACCTGCCTCCTGAGAAACCTGTATGTGGGTGAAGAAGCAACAGAACTGGATCTGGAACAATGGACTAGTTCCAAATTGAGAACAGAGTACATCAAGGCTGTATATTGTCACCTTGCTTATTTAACTTATACATAGAGTATTTCATTCCAAATGCCGGGAGAAATACCAACAACCTCAGATATACAGATGTTACCACTCTAACAGCAGAAAGCAAAGAGGAACTAAAGAGCCTCTAGATGAGGGTGAAAGAGGAGAGTGAAAACTGGGCTTGAAACTCAACATTCAAAAAACTAAGATCACAGCATCCAGTCCCATCACTTCATGGCAAATAGAAGGAGAAAAAGTGGAAGTACTGACAGATTCTATTTCCCTGTATTTCAATCCGAAAGAATGTTTGAACTACCACACAACGGCATTCATTTCATGTGCTAGCAAAGTAATGCTCAAAATCCTTCAAGCTAGGCTTCAAAGTATGTGAACTGAGAACTTCTAGATGTACAAGCTGGATTTAGAAAAGGCAGAGGAACCAGAGATCAAATTGCCAACATCCACTGGGTCAAAGAAAAAGCTAGAGAATTCCACAGAAAACATATACTTCCGGTTCATTGACTCTACTAAACTCTCTGACTGTGGAGACCACAACAAACTGTGCAAAATTCTTAGAGAGATGGGAATACCAAGCCAGCTTACCTGCCTCCTGTGAAGCCTGTATGCAGGTTTCAAGAAGCAAAAGTGAGAACTAGACATGGAACAACAGACTGGTTTGCAATTGGGAAAGGAGTATGTCAACACTGTATATTGTCACCCTGCTTCTTTAACTTATATGAAGAGTACATCATGTGAAATGCCAGGCTGGATGAAGCACAACATGGAATCAGGATTGCCAGGAGAAATATCAATAACCTCAGATATGCGGATGACACAAACTTTATGGCAGAAAGTAAAGAGACTCTAAAGAACCGCTTGATGAAAGTGAAACAAGACATTGAAAAAGCTGGCTTAAAACTCAACATTCAGAAAACTAATATCATGGCATCCAGTCCCATCACTTCATGGCAAACAGATAGGGCAACAATGGAAACAATGACAGACTTTATTTCCTTGGGCTCCAAAATCACTGCAGATGGTGAATGCAGCCATGAAATTAAATGACGCTTGATCTTTGTAAGAAAAGCTATGACCAAACTAGACAGCATATTCGAAGCAGAGACATCACCTTGCTGACAAAGGTCCATCTAGTCAATGCTATGGTTTTTCTAGTAGTCATGCATAGATGCGAGAGCTGGACCATAAAGAAAGCTGAGTGTGAAAGAATTAATGCTTTTGAAGTGTGGTGTTGGAGAAGATGTTTGAGAGTCCCTTGGCCAGCAAGGAGATGCAACCAGTCCATCCTAAAGGAAATCAGTCCTGAACATTCACTGGAAGGACTGATGCTAAAGCTGAAGTTCCCAACACTTTGGCCACCTGATGTCAAGAGCCAACTCACTGGAAAAGACCCTGATGCTGGGAAAGATGGAAGGCAGGAGGAGAAGGGAATGACAGAGGACAAGATGGTTGGATGGCATCACTGACTCAATGGACATGAGTTTGACCAAACTCCAGGAGATGGTGGAGGACAGGGCAGCCTTGTGTGCTGCAGTCCGTGGGGTCACAAAGACTTGGACATGACTGAGTGATTGAACAACAGCGTCACTAAAGCAGGTGTTTAACAGGATTCTCCAACCCAGTGTATCCAGCCTGAAGACGAGTGGGAACTCTTATTTCACAGAGCCTGGCTGGGTCCACAATCAATTGATTGTGGTCAGAACCAGAAATGATTGGCTTGACCTCCCTCAGACTCACCGCAGAGCTTTGGGGCACAAGGGCAGCTGTCACTCAGGGAAACAGTTTGATGAGCCTGATTAACCTAGCAGCCTGCAGATCTTGGGGCGAGTTGCACACACTTGATCATATCACTTCCCTCTTTAAAAGGGAAGGTTCAGTAACATATGGAAGAGCCTCATGACGGATGCTCAGTGGCCATCAGAAAGTATATGCAACACGACACCAATGACACCTCTACGAACGCGACCTCCTGCACAGGAAGATGCAAGGCACTCAGGAAAATGTTAGGGGTGATAACCTCTGTGGACGTGAAATGTTTGCTTTTATGTTGCCTTGTAAGTGTATTTTCTAAGTTTTCTACAATGAACATGTATCCCTTAATACTTTTCTATTAGAGTAACCTAACACAACTACAAACGCTGTTTTCTAAACATGTACCGGTGATACCGTGTTACTCATGGAGCAAAATCCAAACACCTACATGGCCCTTGAGGCCTTGTGTCCCCCAGCCAGATTCTGGGATGGAGATAATGAGTATCCGGTTCTCTAATGCAGAAAGAACTTCACCGAGTCCCTTCGGGGTGGTTGGGAGAATCAGGTCAGCCTGGCTGAGACCAACGCAAATCCATACTCGGCTCCCCGAATGATGGCCTAAAATCAGTTGCTGTTGGCTTGTGGGCACTTGGGGAGGGTAGAGCTAGCTGCAGAGGAAGGGCGTGTACAGTCAGGCTGCCCCCCAATGGGGAGCCCCACGAGGCCCCACAAGGCACAACTCTGTGTGCGTCCATGCAGACCCGGTGATTCTCTTGTCTGGGACGGGGCCGAACAGAGCCACGGCAAAGGACCACAGGGAGGCAGGTGGCACATCAAGAGAGGGGAAAGACTTTCATGAAGGTCAGAAATGCTTTCCTCTGGCCTGTCCGCCACCAACCGGGCTGACTCTGCGGGAATCTGCTCAGCCCACTGCATGGGTGATGCCTGGTCTGCGGGCTCCCTGCTGTGGGCTCAGGGTGAGACAGCAGGGCCTCAGTTGGCAGCAACCTGTGTCCACCATCCGCCCTGGCCCAGGACCCTGACAGGACCTACCTGACCTTCTCCTCCACGAGCTGCTCCAGGGCGGAGTGCAGGTTGTCCACCTCCTTCACAAACTCCAGGTTCCTCTGCTCAGCTTTCTCCAGGTCTTGCCTTGCCTTATCTCAACCCCTGGCCATCTGCTCCACCTTCTGCCTGGCAGAAGCAGGGAAGGATCACTGGGGACACCGCTCTGGTCCTAGCGAGCCAGTCTGTAGGAGCAAACTCAGCTGGCCTAAGAGTGCTGAGCAGTGGCCAGTACTGGGCTCTCACCCACCTCCTGTGCATGTGTGCCAAGTCCCTGGAGTTGTGTCTGACTGTGCAATCCTATGGACTGTAGCCCTCCAGTCTCCTCAGTCCAAGAGATTCTCCAGGCAAGAATACTAGAGTGGGCTATCATGGCCTCCTCCAGGGGATCTTCCTGACACAGGGATTGAACTCACATCTCTCATGCCTCTTGCATTGGCAAGCAGGTTGCACTAGCATTGGCAAGTGGGTTGTTTACCACTAGCGCCACCTGGGAAGCCTGACCCTCCTCCTACCAGGATGGTTTCTGTAGTTATTGAGTCTGTTTCACAGAAGTACATACAGGAAAAAGCTAACTGGCTTGCAATGTGTTTCCAGCAGATTTCTGAACCAGGAGTTTCGAGCCTGGGGCATGCAGCGTTCGCCCCTGCAGATGACCTTAGAACAGGTGGGAAATTATCCATGCTCCCTCATGCCTGCAGCTGGGTCTCCGGCCACAGGCATCCTTAGAACCTAACATGGGACTGGACACATGAAGGGGAGAAGGCTGGACACCCATTATCCTGCCTGGTCATAGCCTTGCCACCTGTAGCCAGGCACCTGAGTTAGCGCCAGGGAGTTGCCCAGAGCAGAGGAGACGCCTGTCTCTGTCCGATCACCCCAGGCCCTGCCCGAGGCTCAGTGCACCGGCTATCCTGGTGTCTGTTTCTCCCATTGGAGAAGCAGCAAGCTTGTCTCCCTTCCTCATCCTCCCAAAGCAGTCTTCCTCTGGGCCCCTCTGCAGAGTTGCCTGATGTCAGAGGTCTCATCTGTTGGTACCTAAGGAGATGCAAAGTCTTGAGGATGGAGATTGGAATTAGTGCCAACCTTTTCTGTAGCTTCAGGGCATCAATAAAAACACAATAACAATCCCTATGCCAACTGGCTCAGTAGATGGATGGCCTGAATATCCTGCTCAACTGGAGCCAAACCCAATTAAAATGGAACGCATTCTTGGCCCAATCGCTATGTAGTGCTTTCTGACCGTGCTGGAAGCATGGTTTCTCGTCCTGCTGGCTGCCCGCACCCTGGGCGGGGAGGCCAACCTGGCCAATGTCACCCCACGCCACCCCCCAGCGGG